AATTATGAAGATAAGATCTAATGCAAGTGGATTAATATTTTGGGGTTTCTTACGGGTTGCAGAGAGCTTGATGCGGTAGATGTACCTACTGAGGCATTTACAAATATTCTTTTCTCTTCTGGAACAACAGGTATGTTAAATACCAACCAAGAATCATAATAGTTACTTTATTTTTCAAAACAAACAACATTTTGATCTCACGTATGTTCCTATTTTGAGCAGAGGTTCTTAAGCACACAAAGAGGTGATGGAAATCACAGTTTCCAAAGCACTTTAAGAACTGTTCTGTATACATAAAAATATACATTCAAACAAGTTAGATTTATTAGTGTGTCTAACATATCTGCTTTATATGCTGCAGGAGAGCCAAAAGCAATTCCATGGTCTGCTATAACACCTTTGAAGGCTGCTGCTGATGGTTGGTGCCACATGGATATCCAAAGGGGTGATGTAGTTGCTTGGCCAACTAATTTGGGCTGGATGATGGGACCTTGGTTGGTCTATGCTTCATTGCTTAATGGGGCATCCATGGCCTTGTATAATGGATCACCTCTTGGTTCTGGCTTTGCTAAGTTTGTACAGGTGAGTAAGCCTGTTCTTGTTCTAACGTGCTGCTTGCGCCTATGATAGCAACTTTTCAAATCTTATGGAGTATCCACATTGATCCCACACGCAGTTTAATTTTATGCACTATAAAATGAGTCCTGATAATTTTTCTTCTTGGTTAATTTTCTCATTCACATGCACATATATACATACCTTCTTTCCTCTATCCCTTTATTTAATAGACAAAAAGTAAACAAGGAGCTAACTCGACTATGGATATTATCCCCCCACCGCCCCAAAAGAAACTTATGCTACATGAAGGAATGTGTCTCTGATTCTACTAGATCAAGAAGGGAAATGGAGTAAAAAATACCATTCCAATTTCACAGTGCCTAATCTTAGATGAGTGGAAGGAAGGGAAAACTGATTTAAATAAGCTCTCTCAGAGGCTTTACACACTTCAATAAAAAAACACTCTATAAAGGTTGTACTCCATCCATCCCAAAATTATTGTTCCACTTTGACTGGGCACAAAGCTTATGAAAATGAAAATTATGTGGTTTAGATTTATTTAGAAGAGGCAGAAATATTGTGAAACACGTATTCTTTCCTTAAAAGGCGATGAACAATAATTTCGGAATTAACAAAAAATGAAAGTATGTAGAGACTAGAGACTACAGAGAGTACTAAATTGGTTGACTACTAATTTTTGTAATGCTTCTACTGTCTTTCCCATCTTTACATACATTCTGTCATTATGTAGGATGCCAAAGTAACCATGCTAGGTGTGATCCCGAGCATTGTGAGAACATGGAAAACTACAAATTGTACATCTGGCTTTGATTGGTCAACCATTCGGTAGGTTTATGATTGTGGTTTTAGGTTTGACTTCTGTTCAATCCACCACCTTATAAGTGCACCCAGCTATTTTTTCTTTTTAAATACTCATTCACATTTCCAACCTTCTCTTTCAATTTCTTGCCCAGTTAGTTAATGGCCTTACTTTGTTTCTATATGATGGTAGTTGCTTTGGCTCCAGTGGTGAGGCATCCAGTGTGGACGAATACCTTTGGCTTATGGGAAGAGCTCGATATAAACCTGTGATAGAGTATTGTGGTGGTACGGAGATTGGTGGAGGCTTTGTAACTGGTTCCTTGCTACAGGCTCAATCTTTGGCTGCATTTAGCACAGCAGCTATAGGCTGTAGCCTCTACATTATTGGCAAGGACGGATTTCCTATTGTAAGTATTTGCTGCTTAATTTTTTATGTGACATCAGGTTTGTGCTAGCACTTTCCCCTTATTTTCTTATTCGATTAAATTTTTTGAAGAAGTTATCGACCCACTTTTGCTTAGTGAAGGATTACGCACAATTGTATGCATGGCCACTTCATTTTAAATCTATGAAGCAGACGTCCTCGGGAAAGAGGATTTTTCCATTTTGGAAACTCTGAAAACTCTTTAGAAACTCATCAAACACTTGTCTTTCTGTTGAAAGATGGTATTTCCTTTTTCACGTTTCTCCATGTTTATCAGCTTTCCATGCAACATAATTTTAAATACCCTATATGGCACTGCCACCATATTTGAAATGACACATCAACCAACCCTTCCTCTTTCTTCTCCTCTGCCCTAACCACCTAACTTATCCCTTTTGTCTTTCCCCTCTACCCGCACCTCCTTTCTCTTTCCACTCTTGTTGTCTTCCCTCCATCTCCTCAATCTCTATCTTCCATCTGTAACTTGGAACTCAATAGTTGCTCAAACTCTTCTCTTCTCTTTTGTTTGTGAGTGCATTTCAGAATACAAAATTATATTCTGAAGGCAATATTGGTAGGAAATAAAACATGGAAAACAGAAGAATAGATAATCTTTTCACCATGGCTCCAAACAAACTGATTTCCATGAGAACAAAAGGTGGAAGCATTTAATTACAAAGAAAGCTGAACTATAGCAGAACTAGTTTGATTGAAATAATTATACCACACACAATATAACAATGAAAATTTCCATCATTTGAAATGGAGCCAAAGACTCACTATTTTTTGGCTTGGGAATATGATGGAATAAAGCAAAATGGCTCACTAAACTGTCGCTTCTTTGTTAAGCAACAGTCAGTCCGTGTAATTTTCGACGCGATTTTCACTATGGGTCATCCTGAAACAGTCTCTTTGTGCTTTAGCACAGGGGTAAGACTGCGTACATCCGACCCCCCTTACCCCACCGTAGGTGGGAGCCTTTGCGGCACTGGGGTAATGATAATGATGATGATGATGATATAACAATGAAGGAAGTGCACAACAGTTAAAAGTTGAAAGGGAGGAAATTCAAAAGATGGAATGATGAAAGGTGAGATAAAACTCTCAGATGGAAAGTGCAGGACCAATCAAAAAATAATTGATTGACCATCCCAGCTTCATCGGCAGTGTGAAGTGGAGCAATGAAGGTTGAGTGTTTTGTGGATAGAGGGGTGCTGGTTATGTAAAGGGAGGAGAGTGAGAGAACTTTGGCCACATTGGCTGGCACCATAACTTTGGCCTGTAAATCAGCTTCTGTTTTTATCTATCTAATAGGCATCTGATGTCCCTGGAATTGGTGAATTGGCCCTTGGTCCTCTCATGTTTGGAGCATCTAGCACGCTGCTGAATGCAGACCACTACAAGGTTTATTTCAAAGGAATGCCTGCATGGAATGGAAAGGCAAGTAAACAATCATGGCACTCTAATTTGCATGGATTTATGTTCCCTGCTCGCTATGATCTCTTTAATACTGTTCCAGGATGTGCATGTGATATTACAATATCATTTTTGCAATATGACAATATTATCAACTATCTCAACTACATTGCCATCTCATGATAGTTTCCATGTGAGTAGGAAACCTATGATGGTGATTGTTTTCAAATATTCTTCTCAGAATTCCTTCTTTAGAAGGTTGCAATAAGAAGGGCATCCAGCTTATAACTTTGCCATTAAGTTATTTTTGCATGACTTTATTGTGAACTGGTTTAAGACCATTTTATATTTTAAATTCTATGTCTTTGAGCCCAATGAAGTTAGGATTAATGTGATGCTGATGATTATGCCTCACTATTCTTTCTTTGCTTGTGTAGATCTTGAGAAGACACGGAGATGTCATAGAGCGTACTTGTAAAGGGTATTATCGTCCTCAGGGTAGAGCAGATGATACGATGAATCTTGGTGGTATCAAGGTCTCTGCTTACACATAATGGCAAATCATGCCAAGTGAATGCATGTTCTAAATTTCTATTCTGTGCTTTTTATTAGCTAATGGGTTATTAGTCTTAATTTGACTAGTCAAGTTCCTACTTTGTTTGTCAGGTAAGTTCCCTTGAGATCGAGCGCATTTGCAATGCTGTTGATGTTGATATTCTAGAGACTGCCGCCATTGGGGTGCCACCTGCTGGAGGTGGTCCTGAGAAGTTAGTAATTGTAGTTGTCTTCAAGGATTCAGATGAATCGAAACACAACTTGAACAAATTGACAAATTCCTTCAACTTGGCTCTGCAAAAGAAATTGAACCCTTTGTTCAAGGTAAGGCGCTAATGTCACTTCTGCTCTGATTGTTAGTGTTGAAGTTGAGCCACCTAACTATTGCAATTTGCAGGTTTCGAACACTGTAACCCTCCCTTCCCTACCTAGAACCGCAACCAATAAAGTTATGCGAAGAGTTCTGCGACAACAATTTTCAGAGGCCAACAATGGCGTCACATTGTAATTTTTATGTCTCTCAGTGTATAGTTACTACACTCCCTCTGTTCTTTAATTAAGAAAATACATGTTTCTTTCGAGTGATAAAATATTAATTACCACCTCTTGAAAATGAATTGAACACTATGAAATTAGTCTAATAGTTTTGTTTTCCTTCCAATTGATTTGGAGGAAGGAACATGAATCTCATTTTATTGTTGTGAAAATTGGAGTTCAAGTAAAAAAGTTATAACACTTTAAAAATGATTTATCCCAATGGTCCTGTAGTTGACTTGTCCTTCACTTTTTCTTTTTTTACTTTCTTCCAGGGCTATTTGGGTTGTCCAATTTTGGCCTCCCAATTTGATCCCCAGTATAAGAACTTAGGAGTTCAAAATGTCCATTTTAACATTTTGGGCTCTTGACACCTTTGGACTACAAGTGGTCTAACTTGTTATAAATAATACTCCGTACAACAATAATTTAGACTTTGCTGCCCAGATGATTTGTGTTCGATTTTGTGAAGATCCAAATAAAACACACTCCTGGTACAGAGATTATTCACGCCCTTTGAAGGTGTGAAAGATATAGAATATACTTTAGAATATTAGAATATACTTCAGAATATTCTAGGAATATACTTTAGGATATTATTATTGTATAGAATCTTATATAGGAATATTCTATTTGTAATGTATATTTATAGGGACTTTCACAACTAATGAAATACACAGAAAATCCTTCTCTCCATCTTTAATATCATTCTAGTTTATATTTCAACATGGTATCAGAGACATCTAGTTCAGTTTAGTTTTTCATATTTCAGTTTTCCAGATTTCAATTTAGTTTTCAGACTCAGTTCTTTCTCAAAGAACCTGAGTTCAGTTCAGAACCTCTTGTGCACCAGTCTGTCTCTAAGAAACTAAATCCGGGACAGAACCACTCTACACACCATCATCATTAACCAGAACCTTTATTCAGAACCTTAGTTCAACCAAATTCAGAATCCCTGTATCAAGCAAACTACCTCCATCTCTGTCGGGCCCGACCATTTTCCGGCGAATTTTCCGACTACCCCATTCCTGCTGTCTCCAACCAGGCATTGAAAGTTCGCAGCTCTAAATCGATGCACTTCAGCCACAAGTCCTCTGGAAGTAATCGCAGCCGCCGGCGCGTAATACACCTTCTCTGGCCGGATATTTGATCGGATATTTTTTTTCCTACCACCAGGTATCATTTACTTCTCCCTCGTTCTTTATCCAACAACGGAACAGATATCTGGGGAGGGAATCTTGTGGTTGGTCGCTGGGATCTGACATCGGAAATTTTCGGTGGGCATCCGCTCTTCACTGGATTCTTCGCATCTGCTGGGTCTCGCGTGCTGGGGTCTCGCGTTGGATTTCTAGCGCAATCTCCAGCGATCTGCGTTTGATTTGTCTGGACTCAGTAGCCGTCAATGCCAAGCAGATTAGATTTTCTTAAAAAAAAATGGGTTGCTGTAAGTTTTTTAAACGGGCTACTGTAAGTTTTCATTCAATATCTCACTTTTGAACTTAATTACATTCTCAGAAAAAAAAACAAAAAAAAAACATGTCTCGTACATGTCAATTTGACAGAGTAATATGCAATTACTGCAAGAAGCCCGGACACTTGATCAAAGATTGTAGAAAATTGCTATTCAAAAATCAAGGAAATCGGCTTGCTCATGTTGCTTCCGCTACCAGTTCCTCTGATGGATCAATTGCTATTTCTTCAGACGAGTATGCCAAATTTATTTGCTACCAAGAATCTCTAAAGCATTCATCCGTCCCTATCTCGGTAGTCGCTGATTCAGGTATTTCAAACACATGTCTTGTTTCATCATCCTCGAAATGGGTCATTGACTCAGGTGCCACAGATCATATGACCGGTAATCCTAGTCTATTCTCATCATTTCATTCATATTTACCTACTTCTAGTGTTACTTTAGCTGACGGATCTACCTCACCCGTTCTTGGATCCGGTACTGTTGTCCCAACTTCTAGATTACCATTATCACATGTTTTGAGTCTTCCTAACTTTGCGTTTAATCTGCTTTCCATCAGTAACATTACGACTCTGAATTGTTCTATAACATTTTTTCCTGGATACTGTGTGTTTCAGGATCTGTTAACAAAGCAGACTATTGGTAAAGGACATGAGTCGGCTGGCCTTTATATTTTGGATACATCAATAACAAAAGGTATCTATTGTCTCGGGGTTGGAACTTTGTTAGAGGCTCATTACCGACTAGGACACCCATCTCTCACACTTATGAAACAAATATATCCTCAGTTTAGTAAGGTGTCATCTATACAATGTGAGTCATGTGAATTTGCAAAACATCATCGCACTAGTTTAAGTCCACGACTTAATAAACGAGCAAATGCTCCGTTTGATCTTGTCCATACTGATGTTTGGGGGGCATGTCCAGTTGTGTCCAAATCTGGTTTCAAATATTTCGTTACCTTTGTTGACGATTATTCTCGTATGACATGGTTATTTTTTATGAAGTATCGATCCGAGTTATTTACTCATTTCTCTGCATTTTGCGCTGAAATTAAAACTCAATTTAATGTTCCTGTTCGTGTGTTAAGGGGAGACAATGCCCAAGAATATCTATCTGCTCCATTTAAATCTTTTATGCTTCAACATGGCATTATTCATCAAACTTCATGTGTAGACACACCTCCTCAAAATGGAGTTGCTGAAAGAAAAAATCGACATCTGTTAGAAACTGCAAGGGCTCTTCTATTCCAAATGAATGTGCCTAAACAGTTTTGGGCTGATGCTGTGTCTACTTCATGTTTTTTGATCAATCGTATGCCATCTTCTGTTTTGGATGGTAAAGCTCCTTATCAATGCCTTTTTCCAAATAAAGAACTTTTTCCCATTCCACCTAAAACATTTGGTTGCACTTGTTTTGTTAGAGATGTTAACCCTCATCGCACGAAGTTGGATCCCAAATCACTAAAATGTATTTTCTTAGGTTATTCTCGAGTTCAAAAGGGGTATAGATGTTTTTGTCTGAGTACAGGTCGATATCTTATTTCTATTGATGTCTCATTTCATGAAAATACACTTTGGTCATCATCCAAGACAGATATTCATGAGGACAACGATGAAATACTCATTTACACGGTTACTGTACCTGAGACTACACCTTCAATAACTATACCGAATGTTCCTGTTTCTGACCCTAGACCTCCAATACACTTGGTTTACACCCGTCGACACAAAGAACCAGATCACCCTCCACCTGTGACACCTGTGATTAATTATCCTGATACTGGTCCGACTTCGACATCATGTCCTGAACCAGTACCTGCATCTTCAGATCTTGTCTCTACATCAGATCTTGACCTCCCGATAGCACTACGTAAAGGTACACAGTCTTGTACTCATCCTATTTCTTCATTTGTGTCATATAGTCAGTTATTCTCTGCCTCGTGTTCTTTTATTGCTTGCATTGATTCTATTTCTATTCCCAAATCTGTCAAAGAAGCTTTGTCTCATCCTGAATGGCGTCATGCCATGGTAGAGGAAATGAATGCTTTGGATCTTAATGGTACTTGGGATTTGGTAGACTTGCCTACAGGGAAGAAGTCTATTGGATGTAAGTGGGTCTTTGCGGTTAAGGTTAACCCAGATGGATCCGTTGCTCGATTGAAAGCTCGATTAGTTGCGAAGGGTTATGCTCAAACCTATGGTGTTGACTATTCTAACACTTTTTCTCCTGTTGCTAAATTAACATATGTCAGGTTACTTATTTCACTCGCGGCAACTCATGATTGGCACTTACATCAGTTGGACATTAAAAATGCGTTCTTGCATGGTGATCTTCAGGAGGAAGTTTATATTGAGCAACCTCCGGGATTTGTTGCTCAGGGGGAGTATGGGAAAGTTTGTCGACTTCGCAAATCTCTTTATGGTTTGAAACAGAGTCCTCGTGCATGGTTTGGGAAATTCAGTCAATCCATTGAACGGTTTGGAATGATAAAAGGTCAATCAGATCACTCTGTCTTTTACAGAAGAACGAAAACAGGTATCACATTGCTTGTGGTGTATGTCGATGATATTGTGATTACAGGAAGTGATACTGCAGGTATTTTGGCCCTTAAGAATTTTCTTCATAGCCAATTCCAAACAAAAGACCTAGGCTCATTGAAATACTTTCTGGTAGGGCTGAGCACGGATCTGGGAATTCCCGTTCCGTACCGAAGAACCGTCCCGAGCCGGTCCAGAACCGATAGAACCGGAAAAATGTAAAACCGTACCGTACCGAGCTTTTTTAATAATATGGTACGGTACCGGTTCTTAGAGGGAACCGTTCCGGAACCGTCCCGGAACCGTATTGTCCCGAACCGTCCCGTACCGTCCCGAATTGTCCCGAAAACTAGTGTTAGATTATAATAATATATTATACATAATATATTGCCGAGTACAAATGTTAGTGACCATATGTCCCGAAAACTAGTGTTATACAAGTAATATAATAATACTACGTATATTATATATAACATATTACCAAGTATAAGTGTCAGGAATCGTATGTTTGTATATTACAAATATGCAATCTTGCATATTCTTTGGGCGTAATCCAATTATTAAGACTTGCCAGCACTAAAAGTTAGCTTTAAAACAAAAACAATACTAAATGATATAAACAATGCTATGTAAATAGAGTTAATTATATTTCATGTGGGTTAATTATTTACGAACCAAATAACACCGAAGAACCGTACCGAACCGTGCTGAAAATTGGTACGGAACGGGACAGGTTCCATATATGTGCGGGACGGTACCGGTTCTTGATTTTTAAAAGAACCGTACTTTGGGACGGGACAGGTTTTTTGAAATAACCGTCCCGTACCGTTCCATGCTCACCCCTACTTTCTGGGTATTGAGGTAACACGGAGTAAGAAAGGTATATTCCTATCTCAGCGTAAATATGTACTTGATTTACTAGCTGAAACAGGGAAATTGGGAGCAAAGCCAAGCACAACTCCCATGATTCCCAATGTGCAACTCACTCAAGAAGGCATACCATTCGAAGACCCAGAAAGGTACAGAAGATTGGTTGGAAAGCTTAATTATCTCGCAGTCACTCGTCCAGACATTGCTTACTCTGTGAGCGTAGTGAATCAATATATGTCATCTCCGACCATTGATCATTGGGCTGTTGTAGAACATATATTATGTTACTTGAAAGGAGCACCAGGACGCGGGATTGTCTATCAAAATCATGATCACATGAGAATAGAATGTTTTGCAGATGCTGACTGGGCCGGGTCTAAAGATGATCGAAGATCTACCTCAGGCTATTGTGTCTTTGTTGGAGGGAACCTAGTATCCTGGAAGAGTAAGAAACAAAGTGTGGTTTCTCGTTCGAGTGCTGAATCAGAATATCGAGCTATGGCGCAATCTGCTTGTGAGATCATATGGATAGGCCATTTATTGAGTGAAATCGGATTGAAGACATAATGCCTGCTAAATTGTGGTGTGATAATCAAGCTGCCATACACATTGCTAACAACCCAGTATTTCATGAGAGAACAAAACATATTGAGGTTGATTGTCATTTTATTCGAAAGAAGATACAGAAAGGATTGATCTCTACGGGATATGTGAAGACTGGAGAACAACTTGGAGATTTGTTCACTAAAGCACTAAATGGGATCCGAGTTGGTTATTTATGTAACAAGTTGGGCATGATAAATATCTATGCTCCAACTTGAGGGGGAGTGTGAAAGATATAGAATATACTTTAGAATATTAGAATATACTTCAGAATATTCTAGGAATATACTTTGGGATATTATTATTGTATAGAATCTTATATAGGAATATTCTATTTGCAATGTATATTTATAGGGACTTTCACAACTAATGAAATACACAGAAAATCCTTCTCTCCATCTTTAATATCATTCTAGTTTATATTTCAACAGAAGGTATTAAGACTTGAAGTCCACAAGATGGTAGAGGTGGTCTAAGATATATAGGATAAGGGTAGTTCTATATACAGCCCCCAAATTGTTATTCAAAGCCACAAATTTAAATATTAATAAATAAATAAAATGTAGATATCCAAAATACCCTTAAGCACACGACCAAAACAATGAAAGTCACTCCAGTCCCGATCTTTTTTTTCTTCTATGAAACCACTGCAAGATCACACAAATTTCTCAAAGGACATCTGTGAGCATGAAATTCCGTAGAGCAGTATGAATGATTGAAAGAAGTAAGCATGGTGCGGATAGTCTGAAAACCATGGCAGCTTCCATATCGGTCACGAATTCAAATCCCTCGGCTCAGTGGCGGAGCCAGAAATACAGTCCAGGGGGGTCGACAATCAACTTTATACAAAATAAAAACGGTGGATCGTTTCCAAACAATGTCCGAGTTGAATATTTTATATATAGTTTAGATAAATAGGCACTCACAACAATAAAAGAGACTGTTTTTGCTCTATTTTTGAGTCATGTCACGTAAGTAATGAGTTAATTATACGCTATTTTTAAAATTTGGGGAAAAAATCAATATTACTTATCAAATTTTGCTGATTTTACGTTTAGATAGTGCTGATTTTGCAGAAGTCATAACTTTTTACTCGTAATGAGTTACGGGGGCCATAGTATATCAAATCGAAGATATTTCAGAGTTCTATGCTCTCAAACTTTCAGCGGGGTCGACTGACCCCCCTGACCCCCCCTTGGCTCCGCCCCTGCCTCGGCTGATTAGCTTCGACTTCTGGAAAGGGGGTGAAACCTCTTGGGCTATGGACAGTTCTTTAAGCGTGGAGTAATTAACTTAGGGGAATGAATATTTCAACATCTAATCTCTAATTTTATAAAGGATCTATGTGTCTTGAATTGATTTGAAAATTTCCACTTCGATTAGAACCGATGGAAGCTAGCTTTTGACCTCCTTAAAGGATCTATTCAAAAGCAATTGAATATTACGTGTGTTTTGGATAATATTCTTCAAGATCGGTAAAATGGTGTTTGTGTGTGTGCAAACTAGGGTGATAGCCGACGGGTGACTCGTGCCAGAGGAAAGAAGAGGCAATCTGGAAGGGGATAATGCAGAACGAGGTGTGACATTGCACAGATAATAAAAAGGGTATAATAGGAATTTTAAAATAATGTGGCTGTGCCTAGTAATTAGTGGTTTGCAAATAGAATTCCCCATAGGATAATACGTTGGTTTGTTTTCTAATAAATTATTGGGAACTGGACCAGAGGCCAGTTAAACGGATGTTTTCCGAAAATATGGGAATAGGTAACACCGGGGGTTTACATTTGGCAAGAAATAAATACCCGGTATTAGTGTGTACGTAATAGTGTTCAGCCAACACCGGGTGTTTACATTTTTTGAAACACATGTTTTAAAATAGGAAATATTGTCCCAGATTTTACAAAAAATATACGGAGTATTAAATTTCATGATCTTTCTAATGACATTAATATTTTATACTCCGTATATAAAACTTATTACTCGTACATTTTTTGAAGTTTCAACTGTAGAAAGTTTTCAGACCCAATTTTTTTTGCTATTGAAACTAGTGTTAAAATTGAGATCTCATTGTTAACATCACTTTTTTTTACATGTTTCAATTATTAAAAATATGAGATTTTAATTTTAGCACATGGATCTATTTAAGAAAAAATTTGAAACTGAAACCTCCTATCGTTGAAACTTCATTTTTTTTTAACTTTATAGATGCAATATTGTGTCATATGAAAGATCATAAAAAATTATAAACTTTGTTATATTTTTTTTGTAAAAATTGGACAACAAATAAATAAGTTACGACATTTCAAAAAAAATGGAATTTTATATTTTCCCTAACCCCGCCATTGTTTTTTTCATTCGGAATTGGTAATTCCAAATCTTGTCTTTTCGTACCCTGACGCAGAGTCCCGTGGTTTTGCATGGGGTGTTTAAAACTCACGCTGTTTGGGAATTTTCTCATTCCACCCCTAGTCCCCTAGGACATGGTTTCGAGTTGGCCAGTTTTGGCCCTAAAAAGAATTAACTTTATCTATTGCTTGTATTACATGATTTGATTCTCGTTCATGTCCCCGGTTCTCCATTCGGTTATGAGCCGAAAACAAATTAAACTGAAATAAATATTTTTAAAGTAGCTCTAATTATATAAACTAAAAACAATGCAAGGAATTTAATATAAAATCATAGACTCTTGCTATCAATATTTAAAAAAAAATAACATATCAAAAAAATTCAGAACATGTTACGTCAGAAAATTCAGATCATATCAAGTCAAACATTCAAATAAGATCTTCGAAAGATCATATCAGAAATCATCAAATCAAACGAATAGAACAACTTCTTAATCAACTAACTATTATAAAATTGACATTTTTTATCCATCAACTTTTATCACAATAACACTGTTAGTCCTTAACTTATTGTGGCAAAATCACAATGAAAGGATTAAAAGAGTCACTCTCACAACAACTGAAGGATTAAATGTGAAAAAATTGAGTGGGGCACTAAAATTATCACTGAAACAATACTTAAAGGATTAAAAGTGACAAAAAAACTCGGTTATTAGAATAAGAAGACAAAAAACCAAACTATAGGAACATTAGTATATTGTCTATAAAATTAAAACTAGCGATGTGGGAGGACAAAGAATGTAGATTGTATCATTGTGGTAAGAAATGTAGGAATAGGATGAGGTATATAGAGAAGGTGTGAACGATAGTTTGCCTAATCAAGAGATTTGACATGTGATTCCACTTTCAACTTTGAATTGAGCTTTCATTCGTGTAGAAAGAGAAGGTTTTACACTGCTGGGGTAGTTCGCTTGGAATAGTGATGGACCGGTTCCGGGCCGACCGGCTCGTGGCCCGGCACTGTTTGGAACCGGCACAGCCCAGTGGCCCGGCCAGAGACCGGTCCGAGTAGGCCTGACCTGGGGGTTACATAGGGCGGGCTTGGGTCAGCCAAAATAGAAACCGGCCCAGCCGGCCCGGGCCCGGTTCGGGCCTTTTTTTTTTTTTTTTTTTCAATTTTTTTGTTTTTCTTGGGTTGGGCTGGGTGTTTTGGGGGTGGGGGTGAGGGGGGGTCAGGGTTAATTAGAAAAGCAAAAAACAAAACCAGCCCAAGGCCCAGCCCGGAACCGGTGAAAAACCGGGCCAGTTCCAGGCTTTAACTTTCCCCAAAAAAGCCCGGTCAGGCCCGGCCCGGAACTGGTCCATGCCTAGCTTGAAAAAGGTGCGGTGCAGCTAAGCTAAGGGAGCGGCCATGTATAGCCCCAAATCCCAATTCACCCCAAACTTCCCTTTATCTGCCCACCCCAATTAATCTTTCTCCCTACGTTTGGAGGACTAGTGTTGTTACTTGTGAGCTAGAGAATTATATTTAGAAATAAGCTATTAAAATTCTTTTTATACACGCCAAGTTATACATGTCATATTGCATGCTGACCCAATTGTCCGTGCACAAAAAATTCTTTTTTTTCATATTTTGTGATTCTCTTCACAAAACAAAACAAAACAAAACAAAACAAAACAAAACAAAACAAAACAAAACAAAAATCGACCCACATGTAAATGTGTGCGCAAACAACTTTTCTCGTTAAAATGTGGCACATCTAAACATCATTCTGAACATATTATTGATTTTCACCATCCATATGAAATACGTTAGTACTTGAAGAGGTGTAAAATTGATGAAGTAGAAGACAAGTCATTAACATATCAGCATAACGATGGTTGTTACATCACTAACACTTTGTTTACACAATAGTCATTCAATTTCCCTTATAATATCATCTTCTAAACCAATTCTAGACTTCAAAACCCTTTTAACTCATCAAACTCTGAGGAGTTTACATACCATGCATAACTCGGATTAACCAAGAGATTTGACAGTTGTGATTCCAGGAAGTTGGAAACGACAGTAACTCGGATTATATTATTATGATGAACTAGCAGCAGGAAGCATTTCACGTGCTTCAAGGTCTTGCAGTCTGAGGGTGACTGCCCTCTTGTGGGCTTCCAGACCTTCAACATCAGCCATGGTAGCAACACAAGGGCCTATGTTTCTCAGGCCTTCTTCAGTCAGAGATTGTACAGTGATGTATTTTAGAAATGAGTCTAAACACACCCCACCATACATCCTTGCATAGCCATAAGTCGGAAGGACATGATTTGTTCCGCTGGCATAATCGCCAACACTCTCGGGTGTCCACTGCCCCAAAAATACAGAGCCTGCTCATGCAATGTGACTTAGTGCTCTTAGCAAAAGAAAATGATTTAATTTGACATTGAGAGTGACAACACCAACAACAATATCCAAGCGACCAAGCCTTAGTCCCAAAAGATTTTGCGGTCGGCTAACATGAATGAATCAATACAAGATATCGGAGCCAAAAGGAAAAGAAAGATAATAAAAAAATAAAAAAAAAAGATAATTAAAAATATATATATATAAAAGGAGATGGAAACTAATAATCTCACCTAACTCTAATTTAGGAATAATCTCATATTTGCACTTCATCTTCTTTTATCGGTCCCTGACCTGTTGATGACTTGCTATTTCGGATTATTTTTTCTTCTTTGCAGATTATGAAACCATAAATCCCACATGTCACCAATCTTCTCAAAACGATCCCACATATCATTTTTTTCTCCCTAAAAGTTCTCTCTTTATTTTTATCCTCTTGACTCTTATTCCCTTCTTTTGTCTTCTTATTTTTATTTCTTTTGATTTTCATTTGAATGTATTTTTTCAGATTAGTTCCCTTCTTATAAAGATATTTTTCTCACCCTACTAATTTTTTTACTTTACTTTCTTTTTTTACTTCCACTTAATTTTTCCTTTTTATTTTTCTTACCTTAATTCCACCACTAATATATTTTTCTTTT